TCACAGTTACTATTATTGAACAAGGTACCCCCTATACTATACCTGTACATTTGGTTTTTCTTGCCTAAATGTAGAACCTTACTTTTTTCACCATTGAATTTCATTTTGTTAGATAGCGCCCAGTGTTCAAGTCTGTCCAGATTTATTTGATAGTATGTGTCATCCCTTTCACACAAATGCGATGCTCTCCCTTGCATAGTACTTTTATCTTTCATTTTTTTCCCCACAACCCTGTGGAGTAGGGTGGACTGAGAATGACTGGTGCTTCTTAATGTACTTACAGTTCTAATAGTTAGATGCAATTATAAATCCAAGAACAATAGGCTACAGGTAGTCCTTGCTTACTGTTTTAATGATTGCTGGAAAATCTAAATAACAAACAGTAATCTAAAAAACAAACCCCAGCTTTGCGATCAATCTTTGCATTTACTTGCATCACAGCATTACCACCAGATTGATTTGTAACTGGCTGACAAACTGTACTCAATGAGTAGTCCTTAATGGTACTACATCTACATGGAAGGAAGTAGACAGTGGGGTACCACAAGTTCCATCTTAGGCCCAGTACTCTTCAATTATCTTCATAAATGACTTAAATGAGGGGATAGAAGGGGAATGTATCAGATTTGAAGATGATACTAAGCTGGCAGGAAGACAAGCTCAGGATCCAAAACGATCTTGACAGATTTGAACAACAGGCCCTATCCAACAACATGAAATTTAATGTGGAGAAAAGCATGGTTTTACACCTAGGCAGGAAAAACCAAAAGTACAAGTATAGACTAGATGAAACCTGGCTCAAAAACAGAAACTGTGAGAGGGATCTTGGAATCCTAGTGGTCGATCACTTAAACATGGGCCAGCAGTATGTGGCAGCAGCCAGAAAAAGCTTGGTTGTATAAACAGAGGCATAGAATAAAAATCGTGAAGTATTAATACCATTTTATAAATTCTTAGTAAGATCACACCTGGAATACTGCATCCAGTTTTGGTCGTCATATTACAAAAAAGATGTTGCGACTTTGGAAAAAGTGCAAGAGCAACTAAGGATCTGGAGACAAAAACATATGAAGAATGATTGCAGGAATTGGATATGGCCAGTCTAGAGAAAAGAAGGACTAGGGTGGCATGATAGCGGTATTTCAGTATTTGAAGGACTGTCACAGAGAAGTGGGGGTCAGCTTATTTTCCAAAGGACCAGAGACCAGGACAAGAAACAATGGATGGAAACTAATCAAGGAGAGAAACAACCCAGAACTAAGAAGAAACTTCCTAACAGTGAGAACAATTAGTGAAACAGCTTGTTTTCAGAAGTTGTAGGTGCTTCATCACTGCAGGTTTTAAGAAAAGACTGGAGAGCCACCTATCAAAAATGGTATAAGGTCTCCTGCTTGAGCAGGAGGTTGGACTAGAAGATTTCCAAGGTCCCTTCCAGCTCTATTTTGATTGATTGATTTGTGGTCATGTGACTGCCATTTGTATGCTTCACAATAGGCTTCCTACTAACAATTAATGGAGAATGCGGAAGTAAAATTACAGTAATGTGATGTCTAGCACAGTGATGGCGAACCTTTTAGAGACCGAGTGCCTAAACTGCAACCCAAAACCCACTTATGCATCGTCGGGTGCTGGGTGGGTGTGGCCTATTGGCTGGGTGTGGCTGCAGTGGTAAAGGCAGACTGGGTGGGACTACAAAGTTGAATCAATTCCAACTTTGCAAGATCTTTTTTTTCCCCAAGAAGTTGAAATTGACTGATTGATTGAACCTTTTTTTTTTGCACACGGCGGTGGTGGCCTAAAGTGAAAAGGTTTTATAAAACCCAGCTGAAGGCCTAGGACTGGGGCGACGGCACGCGTGCCCACAGAGAGGGCTCTGAGTGCTGCCTCTGGCACCCATGCCATAGGTTCGCCACCACTGGTCTAGCATGACTAAACAGGAAGTGGTGTAAGACTATCACTACCATGTGATTTTTTGCTTAGCAACAGTGCTTAGTGATGGAGTTGCCAATCTAAATTGTAATTAAGCCAGGACTATCTGTAGTTAACATTAGTTTAAATTAGCACAGCAGCTAGAAATAAAGCAAAATTTTATATTAAGGTGTTTTAGTTAAAAACCAAAAGTAATCTGCTATTATACATAACTTGCCTACCTTTTAGAGAGCAAAGCACTAGCATAAAAGGACAAAAAACATGCTTCTAAACATTACAAATATTTTATAGGAATGTTCCTTATCGTATCCGTGTACGCTTATCCCGAAAGCGTAATGAAGATGAAGATTCACCCAATAAGTTGTATACACTGGTTACTTATGTGCCAGTCACCACTTTCAAAGGTAAATTGTGTCTATATTAGAACAGATATTCATATTTCTATAAATGACATTGTACCAGTGTTTAGAACAGAATTGCACCATTTTTCAGAAAAATAAACTGTGTGTGTGTGTGCGTGTGAAATTTGGATTGCTAACATTTCTTCTTCCCATATTTGGGCCGACCATCGGCCCAAATATGGGAAAGAGAAATCTTTTGCCTGTATCAGCTCAATCTAGAGCTGTATCAGCTCAATCTAGAGCCATCCATTTCTCTTTCCCATATTTGGGCCGACAGGGTGTTCAAAAAAAAGCATTCATCCTCTTCCCCTGTCTCTTGTAGCTAACAAAGCGAGAAGGAGCCTGTGGCCTAGTGGCTAACACCTCTGCTTAACATGCAGACAGCCCAGGTTCGAATCTCAGAAGGTTATGTCTGGCTGATGAAACCAAATAAGGTTAGAAATAGCTATCCCAGTACTCCCTTAATTCTTTGTTAGCAATCTAAATTTTGAAATATATATATGTTTTCTGAGGTTTTCGCGGGTGTTTGTATGTAGGTCTTTGGTCATTCGGGTTCTCTCCCGCGTAAAATTGGAAGTGTCCTGGCGACGTTTCGACAAAGTCACATTCGTCATCTTCAGGCTGGTGTCTTCAGCTTCGTGCTTCTGGGAGTAGTGTGCGATCGCTGCTGTTTCTTCCTTTTAACTGCCAGTGGGGTTTGAGCTGATTGGGTGGGAGCTTGGCTGTGT